GGCCCTTTTAAAATTATATGTAATGATTTCAGCCTGGCAAATGTTATTATACATAGTAAGGACGACCTTACAATCGTCAGCGTAGTGGATATTAAGTAGGTCTATGCTGGACCAGCTTAATTATTTGGGTCTGCTCCCTGGTGGCTTCTCCTTGACCGCCTTATCAACAACGAGTGGGACTTCGAAGAGGGCGAGGCCCCAAAGGCTACTGATTGCTATTTCAAATGTCTTGAGATTTTCATATATGTACTTGAGGAGGAAGAGATAAGAATGACAGAAAATGGCCCTAGAGAACTTTCAGAGTTGGTTAAATGGTCTAGAGACACAGGTGCTATATGGCTCTATATACTTCTTTCTAGTGGCTTTTTTGACACGCTGACCTTCCCCTATATGTAGCTGTAAAAGCACAAGGGTGTATAGTGGTGGGACAAGCATATAAACTACCATAAGCACACACAGGAGGTTGAAAAGTTTGTAGCTGCTAAGTTAAAGGACCTGGCAGTGTATGATAAAATTAAGGGTAAGGTTGACCAGTTGAAGGCCCTCATGGACAATAAGGAGATGGCTATAGAGGATTTTATTTCCAGTGTGTCCTCCATTCTTAGGTCTGATTGATAGCTCTTTCCAAAGTTTTAAAGAAAGCTATTGTGCCCTTCTCTGTCTTGAAGACCTAGGAGGGCTGATACTGGAGGACTAACTCTAGGTGATAAGATATATATCCTTCTAGAGGTTCCACGTACTAATTAGATATGCAATGTTTTAATACTGTGGAGCTACTGCTCCTACTATATCTATCTATTAATAAGCTGGGGACTACACTCCACTTATAGAATTCATTTGTGGGATAATTTATCTCATGTTCAACACCTAATTGTGACAAAAATTGAGCCGACTGGAATAATATGGGCTGGTTAAATTAAAGGTTGACTCCAAACAGAACACTCAATGAAAAGATATATGCATCTCTGCATACAGCTTCTATGACATCAGAGTTTGTGCTAAGCCTTTGTCAAGAGTGCTTTCCTAAGGGGCTAAGTTGAAACTAATAGGCACTAGAGCCGCCACTTCATTGCTTCAGTCATGGGATATACTTGAGTAAGATATTATAAATTAGCAGCCATTCCCTAACTCTGACATTTGGTGGAGGGTTCTAAATTTTAATACTAGGTGGCATGACACCTGGTTATATCCCTTCTCCAACTTAGATACGAACCTTTTCTATAATTATTGAATTATCTTTAATACATATCCATAATTAAGATGTGTATCTCAGTAACCCTGCTATTCTAAGAACCTATTCTGCTATTATTATGGTCTAAGAGTTAAGTGAGCCTGACACAGCCTTGTAAAGAGCCATGTTTTCTCTAGACGCAAAGTATTCAATAGTTATATTAGCTGCCACAAACAAGACATCTCTGGGTGTAAGGGTGATTGATATAGATTTAGCTCATTTAATCTCCGCGGTGGTCATTTGATGCGATCCTGGTACAATTCTGAAAAATCCTCCACTAGGGCTAAGGCTATGTCAAGTGGCTGCCCTGTATATCAGCACAGTCCCAGGCGGACCAGGGACAAAGCACCTAAGTTAATTATTGTTGAAAGACATAACCCTTGTTCCTCCCTCTTTCCTGGCATTGTGATATGAATATCTAAGATATTCCCAGAACCATGCCTCGTCCAGAAGCTGTGGCTGTTAGTAGAGTACAGGCATTCAGACAAACTAATATACCTTTATACTAAAATGCATAAGTTGCTGTCCTTTCTCTCCACATTTCCGAGGATATGACGAAATCTTAGCTTTAACTATATTAAGTAAATCTTCTGATGGCTCATTACCTGAGATGATGAGATATCCACTGTTATATTGCATCTTTGACCCGTGGATGAGTTGATGAGAGAAATAAAGGGTGCCTTCAGAGAATTAGTGGGGTTGTGCAACTAGCTAAGAAAATTTAACCTATAGTCAGTCTTCAGGTTGCCCCGCTGTTCGGAAACTATGGCAATGGATATATATTACAAATTTACTTGCAGGCTACCAAGATAATAAAGGAAATTATTCAATTATTCCTATACCACTTTTTGGTCTAATTTTGCTGCCCGCAGGATGTCCCTAATCTGAGAGTATAGACTTAGATCTTCTTTCTCCCACGGCCTGTCCATAGGAAAGATGGCTCTCTGAAGTCTGTTAACCCATGGGATCAACGGGTTATAGTACAGCGTGAAGTTTTCTGTTACTGTCTTTATAAATATACCTTCTTTTACTACAGTGCCTAGCTTTAGCTTGGCTAGTTCTTCTATCGCCATGAAATTCTACTTATTAAACTCAGGAACAACACAGTTCTCACATAGACTATTGTAATGGATGTAAATCTAAAATAGAACCCAGAAGAATAACTCCAGGTCGTGCATGAAAGAGTGTTTCTCACTAAGGAGCAGACCTATAGCTATAAATACTCTTGTACCTATCTTTCCTCTAGCTCCTAATGGCCTTTCTTGTTCCTCCTTAATGGCAAGGTCTAAGTTGATTAGAAATGCTGGCTAAGATGGGTTTTTATCGTCATTATTAAGAATAAGATTCCTGGTTGAAATGTCACCCTGTAGAAACTTTGCCTTTGTGTGTAGCGACTCATAACCTTCTAAAGTTAGTAGAGTTCTGGAATAAACTGATAAATGACTCACCCTTAATGCAGCTCTCCAGTGCTGAAAGCAGGGAGGCAAGGGAGCTTGCCTTGTAAATAGGGATTCTGTAGTTATATATAATAACGCGACAATGAACCCTATCCTGCAGGACATGGCTATGCCTGCCTTTAGAGGCAGAGCTCGAGCATAGGTGTTTACTAGGGGGGAGAGTTGTACCAGTATAGCTGGATGACCTCTTGCACCCTATACTACTTATGGAGCAATCCTTTCTTATAGCCTCTGCTGTATTCGCAGTTGAGGAAGTTTTAGAACATATTAGTCTGTAATTTGTTGCTTGAGTTATATCAAGCCCTCTTTGTATGTTGCCACTAATATCATCGACATGTCCACCCATGTGAACTGTCTTATAGTAGTAATACCTTGCCACATTAACCACACCCTTCTTAGTTGCTTCGGCCAGAAGTTTACCTTTATCCTCTTGCTCCAGATACTGCCATGAGTCTTTAATAATAAGTGGTGTATGCATCTTATCCCCTTTATAGTGAGCTTTCCAGCAAGTTATGGCTCTACTAGCAACACAAGGCGCCCGCTTCATAAGACTGTTGAGAATAAGACATTCTGGTTGTCCGTTGCGTATAATCTTAATAGATTTTTTTCCGTCCAATGTGGATATGATGCTGGGATCATAACCTAATTATTCATTATTCATCCAAAGAAATCCTAACATGGTTGAAATGAATTGGAGTCCATCTTTGTTGATATTAAAGGGTGATAATGTGATGGCACCCACTTAATTAAACTCCTAGAGCCGCATATTAGGTCCACAAAGTATAAAGCCTAAGGCAAAGCAATAAGTATCTTGTGTAGTGAGCACCTTCCTTGCATAGTGTCCTAAATTATGCCAAGTCTTCGAGACTAAATCTTCCTTTGGGTTACTCTTCAGCTCCCCTAGGACTAGGATATGCGACTAGTTATATTTCTAATTCATTGAATCAGAATCGCGAATAATACTGATATCTAGCTTACAGTCGGCCGTAGATCCTTCCAACGGTTGATCAGGTTGTGTTAAAACCATATGCTGAGATGTTATAGTATAGCCTTCTTTGACTGCCATGTCCCTAAGTTTATTAACCCAACTGGAAAGCTAATCTAAGACATCCCTTTCTTTTGCGCTCTCTGGCCAGTCACGCTATCCTTTATTAGTGAATAAGGGATTATGACCTTCCTGATACCTTCTAAACATGGTAGTGCCTGCCTCTTCTAAGCCCTTAATACCACTGAAGTATGCATGGTAAAAGCCTGGTACACTAATGTAGATTAACCCAAGCTCTTCCTTTAGCACGGCATCTATATGCTTTCACTGTTCGGAGGAATTCACAAAGCTACTTGTGGTATGTAGAAATGGTATTTAGTCAAGGATGGTGAGAGGTTTGGGTGGAGGAGTAGATTTAATAAGAATAGCAAGGACCCTGCTCTAGATTGAATTATTAGACTCTTTGTTGACAACAGCGCTAAGCAATGGGATGAGCTAATTAATATTAAAGTTGTTAGAGCTAATCACAGAATTAAGTCTCAGGACATCGCTCAATAGATTCTTTTGATAGTTAATGGATGGTCGCGTTTGCAGATCCAGAAGGCTTCGCAGTGCAGAGACCAGGTCGAGTGCTAGGTTTTAGAGGTCTAGAGGGTGTTAGAAAACTGCGTGCTATATAGCGCAATAATTACCTTCGCTATCTAATTAACTCAAGGCGCTAGTTGCGTAAGGAAGTCCTAAGCTGTCGTAAGTTGATCTGAAACAGTCACAGAACCTATCCAACTTGTCTCCTACTGTTGGTATACTTATTATCGATGGATCGACCATCTTATTGATTGTAGCCAAAGTAAAAGACTAAAGATTGATGATTTTGGAAATTATTCAGAACAGACTTCATAACAGCTCAGGTGAGTACTTTGGGAGGAAGGTCAAACATCATTTAAATACCATTAAAAGGCGGAATGGGCCAGTGACAAATTAGTCCCCTGTTTTGTTGATTAGAGAAACCTGAACCACCGTTAGGCGACTGAACATTCCTCTGGGTGGATTCATGGGTAAACTTAATCCCGGCACAGCTAATCATAATCAATGACTATGCAAGTACGGTGCTGGCCACTTCCAGTGGATGGTGCTGTGCAGTCAACTAAAGTCGTCACTCTGGCCCAGCCACAAAGTAACTCATCTCACCAACATAAACCCCGGTTTGTGATATAATGAACCAACTCATAGTCTTTAGCGACGCAGCTTAGTCAGGAGACAAGCTCGCTACCCCTCTGGTTTTATACGCAGCACGAGCGGATTGATTTTGGCTACTCCATTGACAAAAATGAAAGTTACCCATAGAGACTACACGGTCGCGTGGATCTGCGCATTGCCATTGGAATTACGGGCTGCAAAGGCCGTGCTAGATGAAGTTCATCCTTCTCTGCCTCAAGTAAACTCCGACCATAATAACTACACACTTGGCAAAATCAGTGGTCACAATGTGGCTGTGGCTTGTTTGCCATCCGGTGTCTATGGAAAGGTATCTGCTTCAACTGTGGTATCTCAGATGCTGTCCACCTTTCCGGAAATTCGGTTTGGCTTGATGGTTGGCATTGGTGGCGGAGTTCCCAGCACTGGAGTCGATGTTCGCCTTGGTGATGTTGTGATCAGCAAGCCAATCGGCTGCTCAGGCGGTGTTGTCCAATATGACTATGGCAAGACTCTCCGTGATGGGAAATCCCAGCATAATGGCTCACTTAATAAACCCCGTCCCATCTTGTTAACCGCCCTTGCGCAAATGGAGAGCGACAGTATATCACGAAGACACCAAGTCAGTGACGTACTCAATGCAGTACAGACTGATTGCGAGAGCAGACAACAATATATCCAACCTGTGATGACTTGTTATTCAGACCTACATATGACCACCCCGATGGAACACGAGATTGTTCTGCGTGTGACCAGAACCAGTTAGTAAACCGTGAACCCCGGGAAACCAGCATGCCCGATTTCCATTACGGTTTGATTGCCTCCGGTGATCAGGTTATGAAAAATGCCAAAATTAGAGACGCTATTGCGCAAGAGTCGAATTTGCTCTGTTTTGAAATGGAAGCTGCCGGGTTCATGGATCAACTCCAGCCTCTTGTGATCCGAGGAATATGCGACTATTGCGACTCCCTCTCTCGCTAGTAGGGATGATACCAGTAGGGTCAACACAGCAGGGATACAACATAATTCTTCGCCATGCTCGGTAAGCCAAGATTCAGAAACCTCATTTAAATGAATTCATGCTCAGAGTGGTCTAAATGATAACAAAGTTCAACCTAATACCTCAAGGTTTCAACAGAAAACACCCTATATAAGTTGAAACATCAAAGTCTAGCCCTGAAAATATCACCTCAACAAATGCGCTGGAGCCTTCTCAAACGCAGTAATAGCCTCATCTAATCGCTTCTCATACTCCTTCAGCTCCTCGCTATCCTCGTCTTCCACCCACTCTTTCAATTGCGGATCTTCGGGTCTCACATCCTTTACTTCCAATTCCACAATATCGTCTCCCGCACCTCTGACAGTATTCACCGATAGAAAATCACGATACAGCCCCATAGACAGTGGTAGTTTAATACCATCTACCCCATCCCTGCCCGCTTTGATGAAATGAGCATCTAGCAAGCAGTATTGAGCAGCCCAAACATGTTGCTCCGCCACCTCCATGGATACCTCCCATGACCTACCATTTCCGAGACTCAGAGACCCGCCAAGCGGCACACTTGACAGCGCACCTATGATGGACGCCGAGACGCCTGTCAATACTTCTGCGCTCTGGCCACGGAATGCAAGAGCGCGTGCATCTTCTAAGATATAGAGTCCCGTGAGAAGCCAAACCTTTGGGCGACGTGCGAACTTGATTTTCATCACGTAGTCGCTACGAGCTGCGGATAGCCAAAGCCTGAGCTTTTCCTGTGCCCTTAGGTTGCTGAGGACCAACATTATAAGGAATTCCTCAGGACTGGCCGATGCATTAGCCCTGTTTCGTCTCATAGTTGAGGAATAACATACTCTTTCAGAACTGCTCGAGTCCCCTTCTTAGCGACTACCATTCTTTCCACATCTTTGTTCCAGGCAAGACCAAGCTCAACAATATCTACCGCACTGACGCCCACAGATGGCGCAAGGCGGGAAGTCCCATGAAGCTTCACATCCGTTAAGTTGCTTATATAAGCATGCTCTTGTAATGTCATCGGACTATTGGACCATCAGATAGAGCCGGGAATGGGAATTTATAGATCTACCTCAGCATAGGATGGGTATAATGGCGCGCAATCAACGGTTGCCAGTACCTCTCAAGTACCAACGACCCCAGAGTAAGAGCCTCTGGCTTTTCCCCAACCCCATAGAGGTAGAACGAAGTGTCGTCACTGTAGGCCATCATGCAGACTGTCTATGCTACCAAAATCTTGTGTGACATATGGTAAACCAACAGAATGGCTAGAGTTGTATATATCAGTTAAGAGCTCTGCTTTGGTGAAATCACGGTATTATCTGGCTAGAATGCTGCAATTTGATTCCTTATATATCTTGATTCCCTCATCTAATCGTTAGTTGGGCTTCTAATTGGAACGATCTCGTAGCGCTGAGCAGGACAGGGGTATATATGTGTGTGAAGAGCCACAGGCACCTTGCAAACGCGTGAGCTTTGGAGCTGATTGCTTGAATCCGCTCCTTTTGCTTCAGCTGTCTGGGTTCAGCCTAGCCTGGTGGAAGATGTGACAGGTAATGTACCTAGTTACAGGGTCAGGTGGTTCATCTTGTCTACTCATTGGACGCCACATGAGAGTCTTCCAACCCTTCTTTCGTATCGGTGACACATCGACACATGCTGACATTATTCCTCGACAGAACGTGTCCAGCAACAATGAGTTAGAAGGGCGTGCCAACATCCCACCATCCCATAAGATTAGACCGTCGATATCTACAACCTGCTGAGAGCTTGCCCCCATCGCGTGATTTTAATAATATCATCAGCCTTATTCCTCAGTCTATCTAATGAGTGCATACCCACCTCTTGTGCACATGCACGATAAGTCTCGTAAAATCTCGAAGCATATCAGGCACCAGCTACTCTGGACTTTGCATACGAGTTGCCCACAGACAATAATAATGGGATGGCGGGAATCTCTCGGTGAGCCTAGACCCGCCCGAAGGCATACCTATCAAATGTGGCTGCAGAATGTTTGACAAGTCGATTCAGCTCTGTCGCCTCTTTTCCTTGATAAGTCCCAAGCGACGGAAGGAGGGTCGTTTGGCTGGAAGTAAAATGAACTGGATAGGCTTGTTCGCATCTATTGGCTGGACTGGGTTGGCCTGGGCGCTCTCGACTTTGGTGCCTCTCATCAGCGTCTTTGTAGCCTTCGCCCTGAGTGGTTGCCTTGTAGCACAAGTTGTAGGGTAATGGACTTGAGGGGATGATGTGCTTCGTTCAGGGAAGTGGGCAGCACTCTCCGCCCACGGCATTCCCTCTCTCCGTCAGTCGCACCAGTAGAGCGTTTCGTCTGTCGTCCTACCTCTAGACACTGCAATGAGATTAGTTATCCTGCACATCACCCACAGCAGGACGTGGTAAATGATTAGTGGTTTATTGAGCTTTTGGTACCCCTCCATGGTGACCTGTCAAATTTTTTATTGAATCTCGTTGACTGACGGGAGCAGGGAAATGATCATTGTCTACTGGCTGGGATTGCTTCGGTGGCTGTGATGGCGTCTCGCCTTGCTCCCGATGTACTACGTTGTGCTGATGAGATGGGTATTTAAAGCATCAGCACCCCATGGTGTCCGCCCTCTGGCAAATGCCATTGTGAGATCCTTATTTTTTATAATGAATTTTAATCAATTTTTGCATGTATGTGGCGGATCATTTTTCCCGGAGGAATACCGAGGCGATCTGGATGCTGCGTGGCAGGAACTGCACCGAAGTCAGCCTGATCATTCTGCAGACTTGGAGGTGAAGGCAGAGTACCTGCGCTGCTTTGCGATTTATTCCATCATCACCGGTAATCTAGCAGAAGCATATCGGACCTTGGACAGTTTGCATGCGTTGCTCAACTCTCTGCCGACTGGATGGGGCTTGCGATACACCATCTACATGCTATTGGCGGAATATACACACAACTACCCGCCAACCCTCCGATTCTGCACAGCTACAACCAACACTATGCTCAGCGATATGTCGAGTCCTCTCGAAATGAGATTTAGGTTCAAAAAAGAAGTCCAGACCTATATCAACGCCGGCTCGCCTCGCGATAAGGACCTATATGAGATTCTGTCCGCAATTACAGGCTTCCCAATGCTGGTGGGTATGCTGGACTTCAAGCGCTGCCCTCTGCTCTTATTCTCCAACAGCTCATCCCATTGCACAAGCGCAGATCTGGATGCTGTGATTGTGCGGCGAGTGGATGGCCTGGTTAACTGCTGGGAAAAAGCCGAACAGCTTAGTGAGACACGCATCGCAGCATATGTCTCTCGGTTGCTTGTGGAAGTCTTCGCGACTCAACTTTCAGACCGGATGACTTCACTGAACGGCTTGTATGAGACATATAAACGTCAAGAAGATTATGCAGGAATGGCCAATTATGAAATAATAAAAGGAGATGGTCTGCTGGGTCCATCATTCACAAATCCCTTAGCATTGAACTTAGTCCTTACTAACGCCAGTTCGGCCACCCAAGAGGACTGTTTATAGGATCCTGTTAAACTTAAACTAAAGGATCAGTACTCCCCTCAAGTCAAGGAATCTTATAAAGCCGCTTTGGAGTTGTTCCAGAGAGCCAACTATAGGAGAGGTCAAGCAGCAGTTCTGCTGCGGCAAGCGTGCTACCTTCATATCACAGCACAGCAACTTAAAACAACTAATTCAAGCCAATCCATCCTCATAGACGATGCACATTCCAAATTAAATCAGTCAATAGAGCTCTTCAGGAAGGATGAAGTCAATTACCAGATTACAACAGCCCACCAGATCCTGCTCAATATCACCAGCGGAGATAACTGGAATGTTAAGAGCACCACAAGGGGCATTGGAACATGGGCAGAGAAAGCAAAGAACCAGTCTATGGGCCACTATCTTAGACTTCTAGCATCGCGCTTCGCTCGCCAGGAATAGCGCATTTTTGAGAGAATAGATAATACTATAGTGGCATGGGAATGTGCCTATAAAATTTCTGAGAGTATAGGTGATACTATACCCATGTTTCAGTTGATCATCAGTCGCGCCTTAGTACACAGCAAAATATACAACTTAGCCGCGCTTAAGATCATAGTGGACAAGGCCGTGGGAATGGTTGACACAGTTCGTGAATATTACAACACCATGGCTGAGATTACCCCGGACACCGATACAGGAAAGACTGATCAGATCTGCATTCAGACCAACAAATTTAATATCCTTAGCCTCTTTGACAAAAGTGTAAGTGCAATGTACATGCGTCTGGAAGAACCGCAGCTGGCGCATGAATGGCAGTCGAAGTTTGCTAGGATAATGAAGAACAATGAAATCTTCTGAAAAGGGAAAGAGGGCCTGCAAGGAGTACAGGATTTCCAGAGCTTTATGTCTCCGCTATACTCCAATACAGAGAGTTTGGAAGATTTCTGGGAAAGAAGGGCTGCAGAAGATGCTATGGCTGATAAATATCACTATGCGAAACTTGAGTTTCAAGAATGGATTAGCAAAGGCAAGATTGGTGAGGCTGAGACAGTATGCCATCATTTCATGGATGAGACAGAGACCACGCAGTCATCTGTTGCCCGGGATCGCTATCATCTCGCATTTTGCGGAAGCATTAGAGATCAGACTTCAGCCCAGATTATCCTCAATAGTATAGATGATAATGCACTCTTTCAAGGCAACCTAGAAGATTATCAGCAGGGCATTAAGGTCAAAACTACCTTTCCAGTAGTTGCAGACACCGCACTTATGTTCTGTCTGCAGTCCCAGGACAAAGAGCAGGCCTACCAAGTTATTCAGATCATTCAGCAAATTGCACCAACCTTCTATAACACCATAAACAACAATACTATTGACTACTCCTTTCGCCTGAGTTATTACAGCGCAACCATGCTGTCTAATAGTCACTTTAAGGTTGCTTTTCGCTGTTTACTCGAAGCCCGTCAGCTAATTAAACTTCAGCGCCAACAGACTACAGACATCAACACTCAGGCTGGGACATTCAGTCCTTGGATGGGTAAAGTATACTTCAATCTTTCGCACACTTGTCTTAAGTGTGCCGATGCAAGGGTTCCTTTACTCGTGCTACAAAAGTACAGTCATGGTCATCCAGACGACATATCATGGGAGGAACATGCCATTCTGTTCCTAGAAGAAAGCAGAGCTTGTGTCATGCTTAAAGCGCTAAAGATGCAGTTTTCTTGCGAGCAAGATGAACACAGTTCATCAGCTCCGCTCTCAGAACTAATCCATGCACACAGGCTACTCAGGGCTCTACTCGCTTTGAAGCACCCAACGCCTGAGCAAGAAAAGGAGATCAGTGAGCTTCAGAGCCACCTTAGCAACATGGAAGCTAGTGAAGCTTCTTCCACAGCCAGCTCATTCATTCATATGGCAAACCCAGCTGTAGCACCGAGACTGCTGTATCAAAGCATTGACGAAAACGCAGTTATGATAGAAGCAACATTCGGCAATCATGGCTTGATTATCTCCGCCATAACCAGCAATGGGATTCAGAAAATATACCAAGACAGTACTCACAACATTGACATCTGGAAGCCTGTGATGCGAATAATAAAGATCATGAGAGAGATGACTGGGTATCTAGGAAATGAGGAAGAGCATAGGAAGAAGATATTCAAGGAATTTTCCCAACAGATTTCTGTGCTCCTGGTTGAACTATTCAAGGAAACACTCAAACAGAAGAAGCATATAATCTTTTCTACTTCTGATCCTTTGACCATGTTTCCATTTTCAGCGCTTATTTTGGAGGGTCAGTTCCTCATGGCACGCTTTAGGGTGTCACAAATCCCTAGTCTTATGGTATTGCATCACGTTTCGCAGCGCGAGGCTCGATCAGCTGCTCCTACTGTTTCTGTTTTTGCTCGGTCTCCCTCAGCGGGGTCATTTTGTACTGTGGGAGATAAGCAGCAGGCTAACCTTCACTTGGCAGGAATTGAAGCTGTGAGCATTGCGAAGACATTCTCAACATGGCCTGTTGATGCTATAAATGTGACGCGGGCTGAATTCTGCAAGTATATTAAAGGCAACTCCTCTATCCTCTACATTGGCACTTATAGTGACATCAACTACCGCAACCCTCTTCTCTCTTCTATTTTAATTAGAGAAGACTTTCGCGTCCTTAACATGTTAACCATGAAAATTAACACCAATCTTCTCGTCTTTGCAGCTTGCCTAAGCAGTCTAGG